TATTCCTAATGTTACTCAGTTCAGTAAATATATGTTTCCATTAAAAAAATAATTGAGGGAAATAAACAAATTTGGCCATCTAAATTTCCAACATGAAAAGAAAAAAAATTTAAACCCCATAACATTTTTTTGTTTTTTCCACTTATATTAATTTCATTCACATTTTTAGTTTGGCTGACTTTGCTTTCTATTTTATTTTTGAATAATACTTTCCCTCATTTTTTAAACTATGTAATTTCCTAATACTTCATATTCAGCTTTTTCTGATTTTTGCACAAATTTGGAAGATTTTTTTTTTTAATTTATAGTATCTTTATACAGATTGCTCTATTTTTTGTTTCTTATTGTAGTTCACCTTCCTATGGCAGGTTGCATCATTTTTTTTTTAAAGATTTTTATTTATTTATTTGACAGACTGAGTTCACAAGTAGTCAGAGCAGCAGGCAGAGAGAGAGAGAGAAAGAGAGAGGAGGAAGCAGGCTCCCTGCTGAGCAGAGAACCCGATGTGGGGCTCAATCCCAGGACCCTGGGATCATGACCTGAACCGAAGGCAGAGGCTTTAACCTAATGAGCCACCCAGGTGCCCCGGTTGCATCATTTTTTATTACAAATTGTTAGCATTCTTATTTCTCATTTCTAACTTTATCCCATTTTCATTATTTTTAAAGACTTTATATAATTTGTATATGATAAAAGTAAAACTTTGAAAATCCCTCTTTCTATTATTTCAAGTTATATTTGTTAACAACTGATTCCTTGGGCTGCACAGATAATAGTTTTCTGTTTTCTTACACATTCAGCCTTACTGTGACTCTTCATTTTATATATTTTACATGTGAGTCATTATTTAACTTTTATACAGTTGAACCTGAGATTCTTTTTGTTTTTTTGTTTTTTCATCTTTGAATCAAGATGTATTAAGGTGCAGCTACTGAACTTCATTTAGTGGAGAAAATTGCTCACAATTGCAGAATAATTAGAACACAATAAAACTAGTTAATAAACATATATGTATATATCCATGTACATACATTTATTATGACATAAATATTTATTAGGTTGACATTTATGTGTAAGTAACTGAATCCATAATTCTAATAATATAAAAGGAAAATAGTTGAACTTATATTCTTAGAAATGAATGGAAGAATAAGAAGTTTAAAATAAACCTGAAAAAATGAGTTTTATTCATTCTAAAAACATTCATTTAGAGTGAACCATCTGTCAAAATCATATTATTATAAGTATATACATATACATTTAGTATATTCCTGACTATGAGAGGATAAGGATATGTTTGCAAAGATGTGGTTATAGTGGCTTGGAATTTAAATAGGGATTTTTATGAATCTACTCAGATTCATAGCTTCTCCATATTTCCAAGTTTCTCTTTTTAATTTACAGTTTCCTATTCAGTCTTCAAAAATTATAGAGCTAATTAATGTAACATGTGTAATAGAAAAAAACACATACTTATCATACAGAGCATAAATACACATCCTTATAACTGTTTGGGAGAGAAAATACCTGTTTTTTATGCCATTGACATATGATGAATGTTGAAGAAGATGAGGACAATTTTCCTTCCCCACCACGACACATTTGACAGGCTGTTGGAGAGGTTTATTCAAGTGAAGTCTTCATTCTCTAAGTTAGAATATTCATTGAGTGCTTTCTTATGTTTCAATCTCTTCTATATGGAAAGTTAATATTTATTACTTCTCACTAAATGTTGGTGTATGTATTCCTTTGACTAAAGTGATCTAACATGTTTTCCAAATATTCCTTTGGAAAAACTGTCCACTGACTCTAAGGATGAGATTTTTTTAAGAACATCACATTTATTTTGATGAGACTTATATCCTTATTACCCAAGCTAATGGTGCTCTTACCTTGGTATGTGGAAATTTGAGGTAATGATGAACACTGGAGATCAGACTTAGTGTGGGTTGAGACAGATTACCTATGCAGGCTTTCATGAAGTAGGAAAAAAAGATTTGTATCCTTAACCCCTGACTATTTTTGTGGGTTCTTGTGTTTCACTGGCTTCCTCCCACCACCATAAGTAGGCGCTATGTTACTTGTGTAAAGAGGGAAACCACGGCTAATAATTAACTGAGACACATGAACGTTAATTCAATGAAGCATATCACAACTAATAAGCATCCTTCCTCCAGTGTGTCATTTGAATTTTTAAAGTCACCATTATCAAATCAATCTACTTCAAATTATGAAGCATCTGACTTTATTGGTTTTCTGTTTATCAGAAGTTACAGAATCAGTGGTTGCTATATTTTACATTAAAACAATCAATTAATTCACTCAAAAAGCAACTATAAAAATCAGATAGATTGATCAGTTCTGTCAAGAAAGCATTGACTGTGTTGACCATTAATTCATTTTCATCTCAGTTTCTAAGAGGAATCAGTGTTCCTTCATATTCTAGCCTCACTCCAAAGAATGTTTATTACATAAGTAAATTTACTGACTAGTAGCCAGTACGAAGTTATTGTCTACATCTGGACTTGTCATAAAACTTGGAAGCAAAGAAACTTTCTGTAATGGTTCACTTTTTAATGAGAGACAATTTTCACTAAAGGTCATTTCAGTTGTCAAATGAAAACTGTAAGTACTGACAGGCTAGCAATATGTCTTTGTTAACCTCATAATACGGCCACCTAAGACCCTTTCATAACCTGAGAAATCTATGATCCGATAGGTTTTAGGAATGCTTAGCTCAACTGGAAAACAACAGAGGTAGGAGTGTTGAAAAGGGACTAAGTTTGGACTTCTAAATTAGGGAATGGCAAGGGCAAGCATTGCATGGTTCAAGATGGATTTAAGAGGTTGAGAGAAAAGCCAACTAACTAACCAAGCTTAGATGTGGTCCTTTGACAAGGTTACGTCAAGCAGATATAATCCACGATTTTATTAATTCTTTTGAGAGAAATCTGTATTGTAGAAATTATCTCAGCATTTTAGAGACTTCTTTTTTGGGGGGTTAATTAATTGCATAATCTCATTGAGACTTTTTATTGTTGTTTGTTTTGATGTTTTGATTAAATCAAAAACTTCTAGTGTCTCTCTGAAGGTGGAGAAGAATTTTATCCCTTGATTGAGTTAAATCCTTAGCAGGTAAAATCCAAATGCTAGTCTATCTGCATAAAACACAGGGAGCCTGATATCTCTACTCACATCAGAAATGATGAGAACCATTAAATAATAATTTAAAAGTTCAGACTTATTTAATTATATTACTCATAATATACATATTTACCTTTCTCCTACATTCTCAATGTTCAGTGTCAGTTTCTTGAATAATCAAATGATGTTTATGAAACTTTCTGTTAGCCAGTCTTTCTCTGGATTCTATTTTTCAGTTAAGAAAACCAAATTATTTTGTAATATTTCACCGAATGCTTCTAAAGAAATCTACCCTGCAAGAATTCCATGTGTCCATTTTATGTATTCAGAAGTTTGTATTGAATAACCACTGGATTCTAAATGCTAGAGATACAGCAGTAGAAGTAGAAAATAATAAATCAGCAAAAAGGTTTTTATACAATGTTTGGTGGCGATAAGGGGAAAATGAAGCAGGGAAGGTTTATAGGGAGTTTTCATATAGAGTTTGTAGGGACTTGTAAATTTTACAAAGTAGAGTAGTAAGAGAAGTCTTCACCAGAAAGGTAACATTCAAATAACACCCTAAGGGAGGTGAGCGAGTCAGGCATTCTGATACATATGAGGTGATTACTCTAGGAACAAGGAAGCGCTTCTGAGATGGAAGCTTATTTGGCTTGTTGTTCAAGGAATGGTAAGAAGGCTGGCGGGTCTGGAGGGAAATATAGATCATGGAGGGCTTTATAGGGCATTATAAAGGCTTTGGCTTTTATTCTGATTGGAATGGGAGCCTTTTGAGAAATTGGACAGAAGACTGACTAGATTGACATTAATGTTTTAAAGATATAACCCTGGCTGTTGTGTTGAGATAGACTAAAGAGGAGGAGGGAATTGATGAAAGCAGAGAAATCAGTTAGAAGGTTTTGGAATGATCTAGTTGAGAGATGATGGCAGCTTGGAGCGGGGTGGTAGCTAGTAATAGTCACTGAGAAACGGTGGGATTTCTGATAGGTTTGGCATCAGAATCAAAGATATTTATTGATACTTTGGATATAGGGCAGAAAAAAAGAAGAATTGAAGGTTTCCAAATTTTTTATTTCCTAATTAGCACAAAAGCTACACTGATTATGACTGTATCACTAAACTCTTTCAATACCTTCACATGATAATTTCGGTCAATTAGTACATATTCATTAAAAACTCACAAATCCTAACATGAGCAAAGATGAATTATTCTAAAAGTAATATCAAGCAAATTTCTTTAATTTCTACAATCTTATTTTCGTGACTATAGAGGAAAAACATGGAAAGAAGTAGCTGAGTAATCATGGGGATGGGGGTCAGTCAAGAAGCCAGTGTGGTTGAAGCCACACTATGGGCCTATGAGCTTTACATGTTTAACTCTAGAAAATCCATTTCTGGCTTTATACATCCACTTCAAAAACGCATGCCCTTGCTCACAAGGGAATCCTATAACACTGTATGGAGATAGGTAATCCCAGATCCATCCTCATTGCTAAAAAAAAAACAAAACAAAACAAACAAACATAAAACCAAAACAAAACCAAAAAACAAATAACAACTCCCATCACTTACTTTATTTACCGACAATGAAAGTAAATAGCATTGTCCTCACATTTACACAACACATTACAACTAAGAAAATAAAGAATACGAATGCTCAATGGTGTAGGTTTTCCTTAGAGAAGTGAACCGAAACATATAGTGAAGCATATAAAAGAATCATTAATAAATACTTTTGCAAACTTTTTTTTATTTTAAAAATGCATTAAAATATAAGGATAAGTTCTAGAGAGTGATGTAAAATTCGGAAAATATTTTGACTCTTATTGAACTCGCTTCTTTCTCTTTTATTCCAGAACCTACAGATAGGTTGCCTATGCTATTAATTGCAAATTCTGAAACAATTGAGGTTTTCTATCTCAATGGAAGTAAAATGGCAACCTTGAGCTCAGTCAATGGAAATGAAATTCATACTCTGGATTTTATTTATAACAAAGACATGATTTGTTGGATTGAATCAAGAGAATCTTCAAATCAGCTCAAATGTATCCAGATAACAAAAACAGGAAGATTAACAGATGAGTGGACAATCAATATTCTTCAGTCCTTTCACAGTGAGTATTTCAATTCATATTCAATTCAATTCACCCTTTAAGGATTTCATTTATCAATAAACAGGATTCTTAGATTTTTCTAAAATACTATTTGGCTATCAGAAACCTATATATGCAAATATGAATATGCTTAAATAAATGTATTCACTACCTGTTTTGAATATGCACACACATACACATTTTCACTGTTTACATAAGTAGTAAGTTACAGAGCTAATTTTAATTCTTTCCTTAATGCTTATTACAGTGTCACTTAAATGAGAATTGTAATTTGCCACTGAGTGATAGTTCACGATGTGGTAGTGAAGGTGGGATTTTTAAAAAGCAAGAAACAGAATTTATAATTATAAGCTCATCAGCTGTAGTGTTTGTTAAAATGCTTTAAAACTATCAGATTTATGCTAATTGGTAACAACTACCTGTGTTTGTTGACTTTTTTCTTAGCAAATCAGAGTTTTTATGCATCTTCCAAAAGAGTGATTTGTGATTTTGATTTACTTTGATTTCTCATGCCAGAAATTCACAAACTAGCAACTGTACTTCCTACATATTACCATAAATTGAAATCAAATTACATTGTTACACAGACCCACACATTAGTTTCTCCTTTTGTGCTGGTGCTTGCTCTCTCTCTCTCTCTCCTGACCTCTACCCCTCCAACATAAGAGTGTAAATTTTATTTGTGCTTGCCTGGAGAAACTGTATGCATGAGAAATTCAAGATATGTCCACTTATTTTATGATTTACAGGAAAAAAATATTCTTGAAAACACTGTGAAAGTAAAAGTTGGTAGAAAATAAAGAAAAATGTGCAGTCAAGTTAAGAAGGAAAAAAAGTGCTGTGAAAGAATAAATATAGTTTTCAGATGTAGAATGTTTGATGATTTGGATTCAATAATTATATTTTATTAATATTTTTGACATGCAATTAAAGGGATTGACTATTAATCTTTATTAAACATAAGAAATAATACCATGTAATATGTAATAAGTATGATTATATTAAATGAATCAGTGGCAAAAATTATAAAAATGGAATATAAAAGTATGATTGTATATAGTTAAGTGAACATAAATAAATGTTTAACAAATCAAATCCAATGCTTTGAAAATCCTCTTAACATAAATAAAAATTGCTAAATCCATTTATTGTGACACTGGACCACAATGACTAGTGAAAGCAGTAGACACTGGCCATTTTCAATGATTCTATGGAAAATGATAATTCCTAATAAATTATAAATAACAAGGGCTACCTGCACAAGGAGTGCTGCTATGTGATTTGAATATTTCATCCATTGGCTGAGCCAGTTGTTGGAAACTGTTCAAAAAAAAAGACCCCAGTCTCTGCCATGTTAGTGATTACCTTAACTAATCCAAATGCATTTGTCCCTCACAAATGGAATACTGACAGTCAGCTAGGATATTCACTAAGTTGCCATGTAAAATTATCTTCCAGGTTCACTTAAACAACTTTTCTACATTTAATATGCTTTACTAGTAATAGCAATTTCTTCTATAATATGTATTTTTAAAACTATTTTTTAAACTTTTTTTTTTTTTTTTAGTAAATCTAGGGATTTACTAAATTGGTCAAGCAATTGCTTATTAGAACATCTACAGAATATAGTTTGTAACTTAGATTGCATTTGAGTTATATGACAATTCTTGGCAAATCTAGAAAACTGAAGAGATTTTTGTTAAGCAATTCACTGAAATGCTGAATAGAACATTCATTTTGAATGGTAAATAACAAATGCAATGGAAATCTTCTAATTGTAATAAATATTTTTTGATAAAGTAAGATAAAGTCGTATTTAAGCTATGCAATTTCAGTCACTGTAGAAAAGAGTAATTAAATGTGTGGAAGTAATTTAATGATGGGAGTGGAGAAGAGGTGTGAGCAGGGCTGGGCTCCTCTACCATTGCTTGTAAACCAAGCATTTTATCAACATGTCAGAGAATAGCTGCCCTTGTATATGGTGGGCTCTTCATTCACTGTGACAGTGTTTGAGTTGATAATGAAGTTGCAATATTCCTTGCATGTATAATTACATAAAATCCCTGCTGTACGATATAAGCAAAAATAATGAACTGATGGGAGTATGCCTGAATACCTGTCATGATCCACTCTTGAATAGATGCTTTTCTCTGAATTTGCCTGAGGAAAGCATTCTTTTTTGAAAAAAAAAAAAATAATAATTTTTTTTTCCAAAAATTTACTGTGAGGAAAAAAGCAGTCATTATAGGTCAAACTGAGTTACATTTAAATTTTGCATAATTGTTTATTTTAGAAGTTTAGTGTAATATTAAAATCTATATTTGCTATCTCATCTCACTGGATACATAGTACATTTCTATATGACCTTCCTTTTTTGTCATAGAAAAAAATTTTAGCTACAGATCTCAGATATATTAGACAATCCTGAGTGGCTAAAACAAAGACAGAGATGGAAAAGCTAAATGTTCTGTTCTTTCTTCTACATTAGAAAGGCAGATACTGGTACTTTCAAAGAAGATGCCAAATCTCCCACAAATAATATATATAACTGCTGTGTGTGTGTGTGCGTGTGTATAGCTAGTTAATATGACATATTCCTGCAGGATCTGGAATTTTAGCAAAATGATCAGGCCACCCATTGAGTTCTAAAAAAAAAAAGGTAAGGTGGAAAGAGACACTCAAAATTAGCAAAGATGATCTGAGGACACATTTCCAGAGAACTTTCAGTATTCCCTTTCTGTACCATATGCTTAATGTTGTAGGCACGGATATTAAATTGTGTCTTAATTTTTACATTAACCTTGGATGAATTTATACTTTGAAATAAGTTAACCATTCTGATTTACAATCAGTATGCAATCATAAAAGACTGTCCTGAATGCCTAGTAAAAAGAAAAGAAGAACAAAACAAAAACAAAAACAAAAAAACACTCTCAGCACTCTGTTCCTCTGTAAATTTGTCTTTACTGTTAGTTCAGTTGTCAGGCTGCAAAGAATTAAATTACTGGGGTACCTGGGTGGCTCAGTGGGTTAAAGCCTCTGCTTTCAGCTCAGTTCATGATCCCGGGGTCCTGGGATTGAGCCCCGTATCGTATCGGGCTCTCTGCTCAGCAGGGAGCCTGCTTCCCCCCTCTCTCTCTGCCTGCCTCTCTGCCTACTTGTGATCTCTGTCTGTCAAATAAATAAATAAAATCTAAAACAAAACAAAACAAAACAAAACTAAATTACTATTTATTGCCATTTGGCAACATGCTTGAAACTCACCAAAGCAGATATTAGACATGTGCTATGCTTCAATTGTTGTTTTTTTTTTTCCTATGAATTTGGTGAACTATACCTTGCATAATAGAAATGTATTCCCCCACAAATTTCTCTTGAGGTTATGTAGAATTTTAAATCATTAATCTCATAGTATGTTTTTGTCTAGATTCTCATGTCTGTTTGTTTCATTATAGATTTTAATAATCAAATGATCCCATCATGATGCCATATACCAAGTAGAACAAAATATTTTAGTTTTTTTTTTTTTAATCTACCAATTTGAAACTTGGAAGTTAAAATGCTCTTTTCATGATGATTAAATAAGTTTTTGTCCTATATATGAAATCCATGACATGTAATTACTGAAATCTGTTTCTGTCTTAATAAACTCTATTGTGATAGAAGAAAGAAGGAAATGAGGGAAGGAAAGAAAAGAGAAAGAAAAAAAGAAGCTATTATTTTTATAACAAGTAGCCCTAGTAAAATAATTTCTGAAATAGTATTTATTTGATAATTTTCTTTATAAATATGCTAATATAATTGTTTACTTTAATCTTTTCCTTTTATTTCTCATTTCTTTAAAATAATTTATGTTAAGTAAAATGCGCATTTTTTTCTCCTAGTATTCCTTGACCATTACACATTTTTAATGTTGTAGACACATTTACAATAAGCACTTAGCATCAACTCTAAAGACAGTGAGAAGTAGGAGCATAGTTAAGCAATGTAATAAAACTACCATGTAGCACTTCAGTTTTTGATTAAGATTCTGGGTTTTTAATTTTAAATTTTATTTTTTTCAAGCTCTAACATCTTGTGACTTGTACATTTATTTTAATACTGGTTTATATATCTATCACCACAATATATGGGGTGAAACGAATGGTGAGTTGATATGGTCCTAGCTCTGTTATTAACTGGCAGTCTGACCTTATGCAAATCATTTTAAAATGAAAGAACTTATTCACATAACTGCTGAGATCCTGCCTGGATTTAAACATACTTTTGCCTTCCATTACTTGATGTTTTTCTTGTAATTTGAGATATTTCAGTGTGTGTGTGTGTGTGTGTGTGTGTGTGTGTAGGAATATTTATTTCTTCTCCCTTTTTATTCCTTTCTTATTTTTCTCCCACCTAATCACTCACATTAGGTACACTTCAGTCTCTTTATAATACAAGTTCCTAAAACATGCTCCTTGGGACACATGTTCTGTGTTCTGTAAGACACTTTTGGAAAAATGATTTTGTGGTCAAATGGGTTTAGGAAATTTTGCATGCTATGGAACCTATTGGAGATTTATATGTATGTAGCATGTTAAAGATTATTCAGAATTCTTCAATAAAGTACCTGTTTTACTTTGTGTAGCCCAGGATTTCCTTTACTTAAGTATTGAACACTTGATTGATATTTTTGTGGGTACGTCTGTGAGTGTCTTTCTTTGGGTACTTGTTTCTAAGGAGGTGATATGAGTGTGTGTATAGGCCTAATATGTACCATTATCCCAAATATCTAGGGTTTTATGTTATCCACTTTGAGAAATATTGCTTTAAATGTCTTAGGGAGAATCACTCAGATTGGATTCTCTCATCACTTTTTTTTTATATATTTACTGTCTTTGTGGCTAAAGAGCTATACAAGCTGTGTGTGCAAGAAGCTGTAGAGACTGACTCTAATCACAGTTTTCTAGCTATTTCTTCCTAATGGCCCAATTCATTTTAGTCTGCACTCAAAGAATATA